ATATGTACCTGGGAATGTACAACATAATTTTTGTAGCTTCTGCTCTCAGCCCAGCTTCCAGTTCTGGAAAGAAACCCTAAAACTCCAATAAAATGATCCCTAAATGACAGCCAGGCTTGATTAATGGGTGATGTGTACAGCCATTATACATGGGATAACGTTTGTTTTGCTACAGCTGCTCCTTCCAGTGGCACAAAGGGAGTCTTACAGCAGATATGTGGTCTGATCCTGCCACTTTTTACTATTTATAGCCATTCCCTTCCCAGCAGCAGGAGATTTATTCACCAAAGCAGCTTGATGTGACACCAAGAACTGCGCAAAGCTTGCTCCCGAGTGGTGCAGGAGCTGCCCTCCCTTTGGCTCCCTCCAGGACTGAGGGGATTTAGGGCTGTTGCGGTCTCACCTACAAGGTCTAAGAAGATGTGAAATGTCAAAGCTATTAAAGCCTAATCTCTGGGAGTGTTCCCAGCTAATCTCTGCCCAGACCCCTAAGCAGGGCCATGGATTAAAGCGGCTCGGGGCTGGGGGGGATTGACAGTGCTCAGTGCGGTGGCACCAACAGGAGCATCTCCTTTGCCAGGGTTGGACCCAGCCTGGGGTAAAGGGGTCAAAATCTGGAGGCTTGCAGTGCAGGAGAGGTGGGTTGGAGGAGATGATGGAGGCAGGATGCAGTGGGTTGGAGGAGATGATGGAGGCAGGATGCAGTGGGTTGGAGGAGATGATGGAGGCAGGATGCAGTGGGTTGGAGGAGATGATGGAGGCAGGATGCAGTGGGTTGGAGGAGATGATGGCGATGCATCAACTGTTGGTCTGGTTCAGTCTGGTCATGGGGTGACAGTGCAAAGTGGGCCACCAGTGCCAGCCCAGTGCTTCCTCTTCTGGGAACCTGAACTTCTTGGTCCTTTTAAAACCCTAAGTAAAGCAAAACGGGGAAGCAGACCCCTCAAAGGAAGGAAGTAGCCCTTCTCCACACAGATCAACGTCCCCGTTTGCAAAGCCTTTAAGGAATGTTTTGTAGAACCAAAGAGTTGAATCACTGAAAAGCCCCAAGGAGGGGGAACACGTTGCAGAGGCTCCAACTAATCTAACCCAGGGTACTTAGGTCTGTGGAAGCCACCAGATCCCACTGGGTCCTGCCCAGTGATGCCAGCACCAAGCACAGTGCCAGCACCAAGCACAGTGCCAGCACCAAGCACCGTGCCAGCACCAAGCACCGTGCCAGCACTGTGTTTCCTTCTGGCTGGGAACCAAAGTGGGAGACTTTTACTGCAGGAGAAACCAAAACTGCTCTCACTTGTTTGCAGCCATCACCATCTTCCTGTCCCGTGCCCGGAGCCCGGGACACTGCTGGGGCTGTGACCGGGGCTGGTGCTTGGGAGGCGGTGGGGACCTGGCAGGAGGATCATGCGATGCTCCTGTTTGTTTTGCACCTGAGTTCATGTGGTGCCACTTGTGGGCTGGGATTTGCATGGAGGAGAAAAGGGTTTTGTCTCCTTGATGACTTCCTGGAGGACATCATCTGCCCTTGGCATGCAGGATAACACCAGTGAGGAAAACAGCCCATCTCTGCCGTTCCCTTCCTCCTATCAGGGCTGAACCAAATATCCCTCTGTGGTCACTGAACCTTTTCCCACCCATCAGGTCAGTGGTGCTGAGGAAATAGAACAAAACCTGCACAGCCCCTTCCACACAGTGCTCCTGGTCCCAGATAACCCAGCCCAAAGGCGGGATGCTGCTCTAGCCCGGTGGGCTGTCCTCAGGAGCTGCTGTTAGTGCAGCACCCTAGGGCTGTTGGATCTGGGAGCCCAGGTCCCTTCTCGTGGGCAACTCCAGCATCTTGGCTTAATGTCTTGATCATAAAATTGAGAACCATGATTGCCTGTGGCCCCTGCAGATACTAAGAGTGTATTAAGGAAGGGCAAATTATTAGCCCAGGGGTTTGACTGGTTTCCAGCTCATGGTATTACCTTCATCCTCTCCTCTGTGGCTTCAAACCACTAAGACAATCTCTTCACCCGACAATCCATGGGATCACGGACACCAGCCATCTGGGCACTGATCCTGCTGGGGAAAGCACAGCCTCACACCCCACACAGCCCCCTGCCTGCCTGGTGCCCAAGGGGAGCCAGGGGGTCTCCTGAAAGCATCTCCGGCTGCTTCTGGGACCTTGTGTACTTAGTCCCTGTTAATCCCATTTTCCCGAGTGCCAGGAGGGGGAGGGTGGCTTAGAAACCAGCGCTTAATGAGCCAGTTAATGCCCAATTCCCTGTCGCTGAGAGGATGATGACACGGTTTCATCTCACTGGAGCATGGCACTGGGCCAGGGAGGATGCTGCCTCCTGGGATGCTGCAGCACGTGAGGGTGCAGGGCACAGTTTTTACTCCCCATCCCTGCCTTGAGGAGCCGTTGTAATTCATCACGGGACAGGGTGATTTGTGTGCTGAGTGATGGAGCTGAACACGAGCAGCTTGTGCCCAGGCAGCCAGGAAGCCCCCAGCATCCTGGCCTGTACCAGCACCAGTGCGGCAGCAGGGCCAGGGCAGGGATTGTGCCCTGTGCTGGGCACTGGTGAGGCCGCACCTCGAATCCTGTGTTCAGCTCTGGGCCCCTCACTGCAGGAGAGACATTGAGGTGCTGGAGCGGGGCCAGAGAAGGGCAGCGGAGCTGGTGCAGGGCCTGGAGCACAAGTGTGATGGGGAAGGGCTGAGGGATCTGGGGGTTCAGGCTGGAGAAGAGAAGGCTCAGGGGGGACCTGATGGCTGCCTACAAGTGCCTGAGAGGAGGATGGAGCCAGGAGGGGCTGGGCTCTGCTCCCAAGGAACAAGGGATGGGACAAGAGGAAACGGCCTCAAGCTGCCCCAGGGCAGGTTTAGATGGAGCTGAGGAACAATTCCTGCCCCAGAGGGTGCTCAGGCATTGGAACAGGCTGCCCAGGGCAGGGCTGCAGTCACCGTCCCTGCAAGTGTTCACACAGCGTGGAGACGAGGCCTCAGTGCCATGGGTTAGGGGTGGCCTTGGCAGTGCTGGGAATGGTTGGACTGGATGAGCTGAAAGGGCTTTTACAACCTGGTTGATTCCAGGAGTCTACAATTCGATGCTGTGATGTGGCTGTGCAGCCCCTCAGATGAAGACCCCAAAGTATGCCCTCGAAGCCTGGCTGCTCTTGGGCTTTGAGGGTCCCAAGGGGACCCCGCAGTATCCAAGCATGCTGTAAAGTCCTCACAGGTTGGAGCTGCTGCTGTTGGGGTGCTGCTCTCCCCTTGCCACGTCAGTGTCTCCTGTCCTTCCCTGTGCATGGACACTCATCCTCTTGTCTGTCCTGCCTTGCCTCCCTGCCCCTGCCCAGGCTGGCCCTGCCTCGGTGTAGGGCTGGGCTATCTCCTTGTTGGGGACCTTCTTGCATTCACCATGCATTTCCCACTTGTCTTCCTGCTGGGATAACAGCTTCTTGGTGGCCATCACATCATCCTTCATTAGCTGTCTCTGGGAATGGAAAATCCCATTTAATACTCTACTTTGTGGCAGTGGCAAGGAAAGAGACTGTCACCAGCTGCCCAAAGAAGAGTGGGGTAAGAACATCCCCCGGCTCAGCTCCCTTGGGGTTTGCACTCACAACGTGTTCCGGGAGCACCACATTTTGTAGCAAGCTCAGCTCCTTGTGCTGTGCCCTGGATGGAGGAACCGGCCAGGTTCAAGGCCAGGCTGAACGGGGCTTGGAGCATCCTGGTCCCTGCCCGTGGCAGGGGTTGGAACTGGATGAGCTTTAAGGTCCCTTCCAACCCAAAGCAGTCTGAGATCCTGTGAATGTGTTCCTGCAGGTCCTATGGGATTGATTACACTTTTCCCAAAGCTGGGCATCATCTGGGGCTGAGCTTGATCAAGAAGGTGCCTGCTGAATTCCCTGGCTCCTGATGCACATAACTGGCTGGGTTAATGAACAGAGAGCATTGGAACAATTCTTCCCGGTGTGCCAGCTCTCAAGCATTTCCAGTAGGGATCAGTCACAGTAAGAGATGATTCCTTTTGCCCTTCACGTTTGTGAGTGCGGGAAGGAAGTCCTTTAAATGAAGGAATTTGCTTTCCCAAGGGCTGGAGGAGACAGTGGCATGAATCACACAGACCACAGCTCAGAGATCACTGGAAAGGCTGGGTCTCATGGGAGACTCACTCAATGAGAGGCTAAAAACTGCACCCCAGGGACACTCTGCCTCTGTACCTAGGTACCACAGCGAATACAAATCTCATGGTGGGGACTCACTGATGGCCAAGGAAGAATGAAAACTGGGGTGAATCAGCATTGCAGAGGTTGCATGAGGGTGCTGGGACCATCCTTTGTGTTCTTGCACTGTCCTGGCCATGCTGGTGCACCAACATGGGCAAGGAGAGCTCTCTCCTTCAGCCTCTTATTGTACACATGCCCCTCTCGTGTATATGTAGTTATACACAGCCTTGAAGGTAACATATGTAATGGTCATGCTGTAGTGTGCACGCTCCGTGGATTTGGACAACAGAAGCAACGTAATACTGAGTAATGTTTGTTAAATTCATCTGTTTAAAACGCAGTTTGCATCCTGCTCGCTGGCAGCAGCATCGGGGTGCTGAGGCTGAGCAGAAACTGGAAATCTACAGAATTTCTGCCTGTTTTTCAACCACCACCCAGGCAATGAAGAAAGGCCAAAGGCAGCTTGAGTTTGGTTCAGTAACCCCAGATCTGGGGAACAGGGTGCATCCTCCTGGGGCTTTACAGAGTGCTGAGGGGGGAGAGAAAAGCAAACCCAGCTCCTTGTTTTCCCTCCCAAAGGAGGTTCAAGAGTCAGGCGAAGACAAAACCATTCCAATGGGGAGCAAATCTAAGCAATCCTAACCAAACCTAACCCCACGCAACAGCCTGCACCCACCCCTTGTGTAACACCCTCTGGCTTTAAGTGTCTTATACAAGCCTTTACTCACTCAGTGCTGAGCTGTGCCTGAGCTGGGATTGATGGAGAATCCTGTTTAGGAAAACACCCTGGATGTAGGAAGCACGAAGCAGAGACAATTTTACATGGATGTTTCCAAATGCGATGGGCACAAGAATGTGGGGACCATCTCCAGGGGGGCTCCTGGGGTGCTTCAGATCGCTTGGTAGAACAGGGGAGCCTTGAGTCAGCCCTGAGCACATGATCTGGCTGTGGCCGAGGATTACAAGAGCTGTTTTGATCAGGGGAAAACGTCTGTTTTTAGCACAGGCAGCAATTAAAATAGCTCATGGATCTAAACGCCTCGGGGAGCTGTCATAGAGGGAGGTAGAAAATCCATCGCACGGTCTCCTGTGCAGCCAGAGATGAGCCTGGAGGAAGCAGAGGAGAAGACAGCTTGAGGTTCAGCTGGTGATAAAGGACAACCTGAGCCGGGCTCTCGAGATGGCTGAGGAGGATCTCCGGGGTTTGAGCACCCCTTTCTCACTCTCCTTTTCGGGCAGTGGCTTTCTCGCCCTGTACCAGGTTGGGGTGGTTCAGTCCCTCCTGGAGCTGGCTCCCGAACTCCTCAAATCCGCTTGCAAGGTCTATGGATCATCCGCCGGCTCGCTCATCGCCGCGGCCGTGGTGTGCGGCATCGGCCTCGGTAAGACAGTGATTGTCCAGGTTTCCTTGTTATGGGGGGTTTGTTTCAGAATAGAAACAGAGAAGCCTTAAAACAGCAGCAGCACTGGGGACATGACACTGGTGGGACTCATGCCACTCATAAGGCATAAAAGAAACCTGCATATGTGGCCACTTTAGCAGCCACCCTGGAGCAATTTTGGGTGCTGCAAGCTGAAGAATCTGGTTCTTACTGTCTGAATGTTATCTGTTTCAGATGGTCAGGCAGATACTGCATGGGTAAATCTGGATGCAACTGCATTTTATTGCCTCATTTCCCTGCTCCTGCTGAAGGAGCAGATCTTTTCCTCTGCTATGAGGTCTAAGGAGTGCTGAGACGTGTTCCAAAACAAGTCCACATGGCTGTGGTGGGTGGACATCATAGAGTCATGGACCAGCTTGTATTGGAAGGGACCTTAAAGCTCCTCCAGCTCCAACCCCTGCCACAGGCAGGGACCCCTTCCATAGAGCAGCTTGCTCCAAGCCCCTGTGTCCAACCTGGCCTTGAACACTGCCAGGGATGGGGCAGCCACAGCTTCTCTGGACAACCATGTAAAGCCCCTGTGTCCCCTATGGATCAGGTCCCTCGGCATCCTTAGCTACAAAAGGACACACGTGGTTGTCATACAGGTATCTATAGAGCTGACAGCCTTGTTTGGACTTTGCTTTGGGTTATCCCACTCAACCTACCCAGCACAAGGGAAGATGAAGCATGATTCCTGTTTCTCTATAGCCAAGCACCTTTCCCCTGGGATAAAGATCAAGGGCTCATCAGCAGGACATTAGATGAGCTCTTAGGCAGAAGCTCTTCCCTGTGAGGGTGCTGAGACGCTGGCACAGGGTGCCCAGAGAAGCTGTGGCTGCCCCATCCCTGGCAGTGTTCAAGGCCAGGTTGGACACAGGGGCTTGGAGCAAGCTGCTCTATGGAAGGTGTCCCTGCCCGTGGCAGGGGTTGGAGCTGGAGGAGCTTTAAGGTCCCTTCCAACTCAAACCATTTCATGATCCTATGATTCTATGACATGCCCAGGGAACAGCAGTGCTTGGTCTAGCCTGGGGCTGAGGTTTCTCTTATTGCTGCAAAAGAGGTTTTGTTCTGAACTTCTTCTGACAATGTGGATACAGCCCTGCCCCAGTCATTAAGTTCTATGTGTAGAATTAATTCAGAGCAGTTAATCCACTTTTAATAATCACATTCTCCCATATTTCCAATTAGTGTCCTTGTGTAAACAAGTGCACACAAGACTTAAGTCTTCGAAAGCTGATCCAAACCCTGCGTCAAGCAACGGGGACATTTAGGGGTTTAGGGTCCAAATAATGATGGAGGAAGCAGAGAGGAAACAACCAGTTCCTGAAACCTCTGCTGGAGCCCAAATGAATCAAAACTTTGGCAAATGTAGTTAGACAAAGCAGAAAAGAACCTTTCTGCATATATGGGGATGAACCCATCAACAAATGAGCAAGGGCTCCAAAGCTTTCCTCTCTGATTCCTCATCCCGGTGTAATCGGACGGTGCTTGGGTCTCCGCCAGCTATGAATCAGTTTGGTAACTGCTCTCTCTGTGGGCACTGGTGCTGAAATGGGGGTCTGCTTCACTGGGGTTGTGGCACCACCTACTTGGAGGTGCTGAGATGATCTTGTGCCCAAAACGTCTTCCCCAGGAGAAGAAGAGACCTTTTGTTCAGTGGTGACTCTGGTTTGGTTTCTAATAAGGAAAATGAGTGTGGCACAAAGTCTGTCAAATTCCCATTGAGAGGATGGGAAGGGGAAAGAAGGTTAAAGGTATGTTTGGCTCCTGATGGGGTGTTCCATGGGGTGGCTGTGGTCGTGTGCGCCGCAGCCCGAGTAAGCGGCGCTCCACTCTCCGAGCCAGGCTGTCCTCTGCCACCCCACAGGTCACCTCCTGCTTGTCACCAGCAGGCTGCTGCAGGCAGGGGTGGTCACAGCATTACACCAGGGTCATTTCACCCAGCCTGAGTCAAAGCCCTGCCCAGAGGCAAAGCCCCCAGAGCTGGGGTGAGCTCTCACCTCCTGCCCCCCAGCCTGGGGGCACTTTTCCCAGTTCCTCCCCAGTTCCAGGACGCAGAGCACCAGGCAGTGCCCGGCGGGTGCATCACCTGCTGCGGTGTCTCTGGCTCTTTCAGCACCCTGATGACCCCATGTAAACCCACCGTGCACTAATCATCACCCCACATGGCCTGACCATCCGCTCGGATGTTTATAACCCCTCTTAATGCCTGTGGTGCTCCAGCTGACTTGAGGTCACTCCATCTAATCTGTCTGTGCTTTTAAAGCAGTCTCACGAGACAGCCTGGACACCTTTGCCCCTACAAAGACAAGGCCACGGCTTTGTGCCATGGCCACCCTGGTGCAAGAGCAGCTCTTTGCAGCACTGAGGAGCGTGATGAGGTTTCTTCTGCAAGAGTTTAACTGCCCAGCATGGGGCACTCACAGAATCCCAGACTGGTTTGGGTTGGAAGGGACCTTAAAGCTCCTCCAGCTCCAACCCCTGCCACGGGCAGGGACCCCTTCCATAGAGCAGCTTGCTCCAAGCCCCTGTGTCCAACCTGGCCTTGAACACTGCCAGGGATGGGGCAGCCACAGCTTCTCTGGGCACCCTGTGCCAGCGCCTCAGCACCCTCACAGGGAAGAGCTTCTGCCTTAGATCCAACCTGAACTTCCCTGTTCCAGTTTTAACCCATCACCCCTTGTCCTATTGCTACAGTTCCCCCAGGTGAGCTCCCCAGGGCCAGGCTGGCCACAGGCTTTGCTGCACCCCTCTTCCCCCCATCATGATGCAGCCTTTCAAACCTGGTGTCTCCTGAGCTCTTGGACATGGCTCTGCAGCTCTGCTCCTTTAATCCAGCTTCTGGGATGTGCAGACACATGTAATGACTGTTAACACCGGCTGGGAGGTCACCCATGGTGTGCCCCTCGTCCTCACCTTTGAGTTGCCCCAGCTGCCCATGTGAAGCCCATTGTGGAGCCTGGCACTGCCACGTGGAGGTGGAAGGCAGGAACCTGCTGTGGACCTACCTCTTCCCAGGGCTCTCTGGAGCCTTTCCCTAATCCCTGGCCAGGCTCTTCTTGAGCAACCACCTCTGGTGCAGACGGGGTTTCACCACTGAGGCTGTGCTCAGCAATACATTGCTCTCTGAGGACATCGTCCCCTTTCTCCTCTCCACAATGTCGCCCACTGTAGCAGCAGTATCATGCCAAAAGCTTTATTTGTGGGGAGCGTTAAAAGCAGGATAAAACTCACAACTGTTTAGGCAGCAGATCCTGACTTTCTCTCTGTCTTTCCCTCCCACCTCTGTATTAGATGATCTAAAGGAATTTTTCTTTGCCATGGCAAAGGAGGCCAGGGAAACCATCCTGGGCCCCCTCTCTCCCAAGTGCAGCTTGCTGGCAAATATCAAGGCTGTTCTGCAGAGGATGCTACCAGAGAACTCCTACCAACTGGCTTCGGGGCGGCTGCACATCTCCCTCACGCGGGTGGTGGATGGCCAAAACGTCATGGCCTCGGAGTTCAGCTCGAAAGAGGAGCTCATCCAGGTAAAGGGACCTGCCTTGGGTGCTGTAGGAAGATCTCTACCTACTGCTTGGGGTGGAGGTACTTAAACATTGATGACTTTAACTGCAGCTAAGATGGGAAGGTGTCAGGGTGTCATGGTCGCACCACAGTGAGCTCCATGAGGCTTGGAGGGAGGGTGGAAGAGGCTGTTAGGGCCAGAAAGCAGGTTTATTCCCAGCCTCAAAAAGCTGCTGCTGTGTTGGCCAGCTCTAGGAAGTGCCAATGACTCTTTGCAGAGCTGTTAATGCTAGCATGACCTCTCAGCTTTCGGGACAGGTCTCTCCTCAGGGAAGTCCCATTGGCAGTGATTTTCCTCCTTGCCTCAGCACTTCCCTGGGATGAAAAGCTGGAAAAGTGTCTGTGGTGCCAAAAAGCAGCAGATTAACCAGTGAATGAGCTGCGGGGGGAAAGAAACCCAGGGTAAATCCCTAACAGACCCGTAGAGGATGGCAAATCCATGGGTATGTTGGATTTCACCCTCTGGTGCCTGCCCTAGGTCAACCCATGAGCACAGGATGCTTATTCCAAGGCCATGATATTGGTAGAAAATGGTTGTGAATGGCCCAGCAGTGGCTTTATCATGGACAAATCTCAGCAGAATGTCTTGGTACTGTCCAAAACCCCTCAAACATGAAAAATGACCCCAAAGCTTCACCTTGGCACTGTCGACGGGCACTTTTGGACAGTGATGTATGAATCATACAACTAATGCTGCTGGCAGCTCAAAACATGACAAACTGAAGCAGTCTGCCCTTCTCAAGAGAGGTGTTTCCCCTTCACTGACACCTTTCTTCTTGACACAGTCAAATGCGAAGCCCAGGTGGCACCGACAGCCAGGTCCAGCCTGGTTTTGGAGGCATCACATCAACAGCTTTTGTCCAGGACAACTCTGACAGGGCCACTTACTTCTGCAACCCCTCTCATCCCCCAGGCTCTCCTCTGCAGCTGCTTTCTTCCCATCTACTGTGGCTTCATCCCTCCATCGTACCGAGGTGTGGTGAGTGCTATTTCATGTAAAACTTACTGTCCCAGCAGTATGTTCTTGGGTTTATGTTCCCTTGAGCAGAGAGGGGTATCTCAGCCGAGGATGCTGCTTAGTTAACGGAGGATGATAAAGCCTTCTAGCCTGTTCTTCATCCCATCCTGATGATAGCTGGGTGGAATATTAAATGCAGGAGCCTGGCTGCTTGAGCTCAGGACTTGAAATCTATAGGACACTCTAAATTCAGTGATGTTTGGGTTGGCCAACGACTGCCAAAACAACTTTACAAAGCTTTGTGAATCCAAATAACTATTTCCGTTCTAATAATCGCTGTGGATCACAGCATCTGGGCGAGGAGCCACTGGGTGCCATAGGCAGGGCAGCAGAAAGAGCTGGCAGAGGCCAAGGTGAAGAGCAAGGGGTAGGGACAGATGCATTTGCAAGTGGGAAGAGAAAGGACATGCTGCGATCGGCTCGGGGCAGGAGGTGCTGCCTCTGCCTGCTTTCCTCTCAGTGACCCTGCCCTCACTCACACACACACCGTAGCAACCCCCAGAGCAAACCCTCCTCTGCTCTTCCCCCTCAGCGATATGTGGATGGAGGATTCACTGGTCTGCAGCCTGTTTCCAGCTTGGAGGAACCTGTGATCACCGTGTCCCCGTTCACAGGAGAGCTCGATATCTGCCCAAGGGATTGTCCTGCCATCTTCTTCTGCTTCCAGATCTTCAATGGCAGCATTCAGATCTCGATAGAAAACCTCTGCAGGATTAGCTATGCTCTCTTTCCACCCAGCACCATGGTAAGCCACCAGCTTTGTTTGGTTAAAACAAACTGATGCTGGACCTGCCTTCCCAAGCTTTAAGTTTTAGCTCCATCTCCATCAGTAGTCAATCAGATCTCACATGGAGGGTGCAGTACCTACTAGTTTTGCAGTGCATTTATTTGGTGGGCACTGCTGAGGGGTGGCCAACCTGGAATGGGGTCCACCCTGGTTTAATAACCTGCAAAGGACTACAGCTTTGGTTATTGGAAGCCAGCCTGTGCTTGCTGCCTTCCAAATGGGCCACCCCAACCCTCCACAGCTGGGCACATCCTGTCAGTGCCTGGATGGAAAGCTCTTTAGTGACCTCAAGTGTTTCTCCTTGCAGGTCTTGAACGACATCTTCTCCCAAGGGTACCAGGACACTGCCCTTTTCCTGTACAGGAACAGTAAGTGATAGCCAGGACCTAAGGCTGGCCTACACACACAGCACACACACAAACCTCATCCCTCTCTTTTGTGTCCCACAGATGCCTTTGGCTTTAACTACTGCAATGGGAATTTCCACTTTGCCATCTCATGCGGGAAGAATGACTTTGCCCCATCCAAAAGGACGTGCACTGGCCTGTGCAAAATGGAAACACAGTGCCCAGCTCCTTGCTTCCTGCCAGGTAGAAGATTTGGGGTGCTCATCCTGGGTTTCGGGGCCTCTGAGGGCTGCTGCAGTCTTTGAGAGGCGCAGTATTACCTTACAGACATTACTGAGTTAGTTACTGTAGGAAATATTCCTGTATCTGCAGTAGCTGCTCTGACAAAGAAGCTTTGTAAGAGCAGCTCGAGCTGGATTCAAGCCTGGGGTTAGTACCTACAGGCTGAGCTGCAGCAAGAGCTGCTGGGCAAGAAGAATTATTGCATTTACTGGGTTATTTCTAATTCCTGGTCTTTATTTACTTCTGTGTTGTCATCCATGGATACAGGCTTGGGTATGTGGAGGAATGAGCAGCTCTCTGGACTTCAGGATCCACTGTCAAAGGTCCTGTTGCAACCTTACAGGCTGCCGGCTTTCTTCAGGAATGGGTAAGAACATCTTGATAGAGGCATTGAAGCTGAAAGTGGTACAGGAACTGGTGGTCGTGGCTTCAGCAGTGCTGAGATAGCTGCAGGGACGCAGTGCAGGGTTAGGATGCATTGAAGTGTGCAATGGGCTGCAGCACCTTTCAGCAGCTGGAAACACACGGGGCAGCCTCTGGGGCAGCGTGGGCTGATGGTGAATCCCTTCTTTTCTATGGACCAGGGCACAGCTGCTGCATCAACATGCACAGCAGCATCCCCTTACTCCACAGGAGGGGTTGGTATTTCTTGAAGGCAAGCTCTCAGGGGGAGGGGTCTGGCTAACAGGAACACCATAGGATTGCTTGGGTATGAAAAGGAGCATCACAATGTGCGTTTGCCATTAACACCCTCCCCTGTTGGCTGCATCGAGTGGCCATCAAACTCAGCCTGTTTATTTTGGGTTTGCAGGCTGGGGAAGCTGTGGGGGGTGCTGGATGGTATCAGCTCCATGGTAAAGTGGTTCCAGAAGCTCTTCCAAACCGTGGTGCCTGGATTGCCCAAGAAAGCCACAGCCAAGAGGTGAGGTGCTCAGGGAATGCAGACCCTCAGCAGGGAGAGCAGGGAAACCCTGGGAGACCTCAGCCATGGGTCACTGATGCTGAGTGTGACTAAAGGCTCCAAATCCTGGCTATCCCATATTAAAAGTAGCTATTTCCCCCCTCCGTCTGATATTATTTAGTGATATCTCAAAGGAACTGTAAACCAGCTTAGTGCTGCTTCCCTACAGCAACGTATTCCTGCTCCAAAGCATGTATCTGCTGGGCTCTGTCCTAGCAGGACATCAGGCATGTTCACCAAGAGCCTGAGCCATGTTTTGGCACTAAACTCTCAAGGATTTAAGGTATTTAACTTGCCACACAGATAACTTTAAACCATACCCCCCCAAAACCTGCCTGCAAGTTACTTCACATGCAGCTGGTGAGGAGGCTTGCACAGGATGATTTCACCCAGTGACACAACTCCTCAGCTAGGAAAAAGCCCTTTGGTATCAAACATCCCTGGGACCACTCGTTCCTGTTGGTTCATCCACCAGGACTCAACTAACTGCCAGCTTGTTCCCTTAGGCAGCCAGCCTGGATGGGCCCTGGGGGGCTCTGATGCTGTGGTTCTGCTGCCCTGGGAAGCGGGGGTGACTCCGGAGCTCATTCCGCACAGCAGCTTGGATCGTTACGGAGTTCTGGGGAGTGTGGGGTTCGTTTTCTTTTTCCACTGGGGGAAACTGGCTGATTCCATTCCCAACGCTGCTGCCACAGTCCCCCTGCCCAGGCCTGACCTGCTTTATCATGATGGCTGGAGGACAAGCACCGCAGCGCTGCATCTGCGGCCCAACCACAGCCTGCGCAGGGCAGACCGAGCATCCTCACCTGCATGTGTGTGCAGCCCAGCCACCAGCTTCCCCAGCCACCCCAGCTGCTGCTCACCAGCAGCATCCCTCCCCCTGCTTTCATGCAGATTACAGGACAAGCGTTTGCAGGAAATGTCACATTTCAAGCGCTTTCCTCCCACTCCAAAACTTGCAGAGAAGCAGAAAACAGAGGGAGGGAGACGCCTTAGGGAGCATCACCCTGGGCAGGAACTATTTTTTGCCCAGTTCCCTGAAGTTATTTTACCAATTACCTATTCTTGAGCTTCATACGCCCTTGGAGGTTGGCTTCTCCTGCCAGGGGAGGCAGGCACACATTTGGACCCCTCTGAATGTGCAGCTGTGGAGAAGGATGGAGAAACACCAAGATTAACCTCCCCTTACTTCAAAGTAGCGCAGACTTGCAGAGTTCATTTCCTGCTGCACCAGGAGAGCTGACATTTCACATATACATTAGTTCTTTTCATGCAACTTTCTGTAATTTGCTGCTACAAACAGTGTGTGGTCCAGGCAAACACACCTCATGTTGCTGGTCTGTATGCAGAATGAATTGGCACCACTCTTCATCATCCCAAATACACTTTGCCCATGAATTGGCATCACTCTTCCTCTCTCCAAATATAGTTTACACATCAGAGGCTGATGGATTGGCTTTATCCCAACTGAATCTTTCTGTTGGTTCCCCATGGGCAATGAGCAGTTCACGCCAGCACAAGCTGTTGATTTGAATGAGCAGCTTGTTTCATTGCACAAAGGGAAGTGAAGCAGGAAAGTTTCATCCAAAGTGCTCTGGAGACTGCAGGTGGGGATGTGAGGAATTGCTGAAGGTTGTGTTGGGGTTAACAGATTCAGAGTTAATGATGAATGCTCAGCAAAAGATTAATACGACATGTTCTGCTATATCTGACTGAAATCAATGACCTGGGACTATTTGCTCTGCAATGAGCTTGCTAAAAGAAATCTGGATGCTTGTTTTGCATCGGGTCCATCAAAACCTGCTCCTGCCTCCCTTCCTGGAAGTCCTGGCTGGATTTGCCTCTCTCAAGCTCTGCGGGCAAAGTTGGGCTGCTCAAAACCAGGTTGTGAACTGCCACAGATCAAACCAGAGAGGACACAGAGACACCCCCTGCTCCCCGGGCAGGAGAGGGGCCAGGCAGCCCATCATCTGCTTTTGCTCACACTGCAAAATGCTTTTCCTCCCAGGCAGACCCCCTGCTTCTGAAACCACCCCTCTGCCAGGCCCCTGCTCTTCCTAGCGAGCACCCTCACCTCCAGGCAGGACATAACCATTTCAGTCTGCTGCAGGCAGTTCTGCTTATCCCTGTTCAAATCATGAAACCACAGAATGGCTTGGGTTGAAGGGACCTGAAAGCTCCTCCAGCCCCAACCCCTGCCACAGGCAGGGACCCCTTCCATAGAGCAGCTTGCTCCAAGCCCCTGTGTCCAACCTGGCCTTGAACACTGCCAGGGATGGGGCAGCCACAGCTTCTCTGGGCACCCTGTGCCAGCGCCTCAGCACCCTCACAGGGAAGAGCTTCTGCCTAAGAGCTCAGCTCAGTCTCCCCTCTGGCAGGTTCAAGCCATTCCCCTTGGCCTGTCCCTACATCCCTTGTCCCAAGCCCCTCTCCAGGTTTCCTGCAGCCCCTTCAGGCACTGGAGCTGCTCTCAGGTCTCCCCTTCAGGAGCCTTCTCTTCTCCAGGCTGACCCAGCCCAGCTCTCTCAGCCTGAGCCCCACTGATGTGCAGGCTCTGCTGCAGCAATAACCCTTTGGAGATGTTCTCACCTACTCAGGAAGACTTGTGTGACTTATTCACAGGGTTACACCTTTGATTATTTGGTAACATCAATGATATTCTAGTATTGTGCAGACGAACAGCAAACCAGCCTTTTCCTGGCCTCGATCATCAGGGCTTCTCCTCTGGAGACCAAGAGTCCTGACTTTACCCTTGCTTGCTCTCTGGGCTAACAAAGGAGTCTCAATTCCTTCTGCAGGTGACCTTAGGTTGGTGAAAAACACTGCAGCCAAGCTGCAAACCAACGGCTGAGACTCCTGATAACCCAGAGCCTGCCCAGCCTCCAAAGGAACCTGGTTCCTGCTGTGCTGCTTTCAAAAGCTCCATGCAGTTCAGACTGATGAAGCCTTTAAAGCCAAGCATGGGAACAAACCACAGCCTAAGACTGTGCCCTGCATTTCTAGTGTGGGTCCCATAGAGTTGTCTGTTCTCAATAGAAATATCTTCTTTGTTTTCATTTTATGTATTTCAAGCTTTTATTTCTAGCTCTGGAATGGTACTAGTCCTGTTCTTTCCCCTTGATGTTCCTCATTTGGTGTGGTCCTCCTAGATATAGCACAACAGCATTTGGGTCTTTTTTCACCTTTTGTTTATGTGGCAACATTTTAAAGCATCACCATGTTGGAAAAACTGTTTTCCTAAGTTCACAAATCCAGAAATGCTGGAAGGCTCAAAGAGAAAAAGAAAATAAATAATAAAATGGAAAAAAATGCTGTACTCCTGCACAGGCTGCTCTGCGTTCTCCTAGGAACAACAAGACAAACTGGAATCTGAAATGCTGAGGGTGCACCGGGGTTCCGTTCACAGCTGAAATGGGAGGGGGCAGTATTTTGGATTTAAACCTGCCTTATGTTGCTTAAAAATGACACAGGTAGAGGTTCACCTGCAACTCGCACGAGCTTTTCTTGCCCTTCGGTGTTTACATGTGGCTGCACATCGAGTTCCTCAGTAGAAACCCAGCTCTGAGCATTGAGACACTGCTCCTTCCCTCACCCTTAACGAAAGCATGCATAGGTAGAACCTGTTCCTAGCTTACATGGTGAGGAAAAGTCTTTCTTCATAGAAAGAGCTGCTTCTCCAAAGAGCTCTTCTAACCTGGACACACTCTAAGTCCTCAGTCCACCCAAAACAAGCTCAACATGAGGCTTCACTAATAACCAGTGACCCGAGAGGGGACCCTCTCACATTCCTCATGTTCTCACTGCTGGAGCCTGCAAAACCCCAGCCAGCCTTTTTTGTCAGTGAGAGCCCCGGGCAAGTGTCGTTTAGCTAATGAAAACTGATGGGGTAAAGAAGTGCTGGTCCTCTACCTTTCTGATGGTGGAGAAGGTGGAGGGGGGCTTCCTCTTCCACTTCATCTGCTGCCCGGACAGTCCCTGGGTTCTCTTCTGTGCCATCCTCAGGGTCTGTGGCTCTGGAGTGAAGTACTCTTGTTTCTGGCTTCCAGTGCAAGGTCTCTTCACCCTTCTGACACGATTCATTGGTGAATGGAAGCATGAAGTCCTCGTCAAAGTAATTTATACCGAAGTCATCTGGTGGAAAAAGAACCCAGCTCTTACTGCTTGTTGCTCAACTACCAGATCTGCAGCAATGGAAAGGATTGATCTTTGACCAGGGTGTACTGGAAAACAGGGGGACTAAGGCCCACAGTGCATGGCTAACCTGAGTTGGGTTTTTGGATCAGGAGTCACCAAACATTGCTGCTTTGTGCATCAGTAGGTTATCAGCCTAACATCACACAGGGCACCTGAGCCTATGCTTCTGTCTAGGTCCTGGGGACCTGCATTCCCTGCAAAGCTCTATCGTGCATAGTGTGGAAGAGAAGAGGGGACCTAACACCGTCAGAGGGGAAGGGGTAAACAGGGAGCTACAGGAGAGGCATCACAGAGGATGGGACTCGAGGGTATCCTGGCAATGCCAGGGATGCTGGGATCTCTCTGCCCTCGTCACCCTAGGTGCACTGGCAGCATCTCTTACCTTCTGTCAGCAAACCAATACTGAGAAGCACCCGACCTGCCTGCTCCTCACTCCCAAGCACTTACTCAGTCTTTTTAGGTAGGAGACCGTGTCCTGATAGCCACAGGCATAATACTGCTCCAGAACCTGCAAAGGGTGAGGTGGCAGTCAGGGTAGATGGGCCAGCTATAGGGGTTTTATGGCTCTGGGGACCTGTAGAAGCAGCTCACTTGCTCTGTAGGAAAGTAGAAAATATACAGAATACGGGTGAAGTTTCTTTTGGAGATCTGTAAAATAGAATCAGCGAGCTGTAAGGTGAGGAAGGCAGCGGGGCAGTCCTTGGGACAGATGTCGTATTCGCCAGCGAAGGCAGACACAGTGATGGTTGTCCGGGACACGAAGCTGGAGTTCCACATCCCAATCTCCCCATCCATGTAGCACTAGGATAGAAAACAAGGAACCCTGAGCCTTCCTCCTCCTAAGGAGAAGAGTGATGTGTTACAGCGTAGAATCACAGAATGGCTTGGGTTGAAGGGACCTGAAAGCTCCTCCAGCTCCAACCCCTGCCACAGGCAGGGACCCCTTCCATAGAGCAGCTTGCTCCAAGCCCCTGTGTCCAACCTGGCCTTGAACACTGCCAGGGATGGGGCAGCCACAGCTTCTCTGGGCACCCTGTGCCAGCGCCTCAGCACCCTCACAGGGAAGAGCTTCTGCCTTAGATCCAACCTGAACTTGCCCTGTTTCAGTCTGAACCCATCACCCCTTGTCCTATCACTGCAGTCCCTGATGAAGAGTCCCTCTCCAGCATCCTTGTAGCCCTCTTCAGACACTGGAAGCTGCTCTGAGGTCCCCACGCAGCTTCTCTTCTCCAGGCTGAACAGCCCCAGTGTTCTCAGCCTGGCTCCATGCAAGAGGTGCTCCAGCCCCTGAGCACCCTCATGGACTCCTCTGGGCTTGCTCCAACAGCTCCATGTCCTTCTTATGCTGAGGACACAAGAACTGCACCCAGTGCTGCAAGTGGGGTCTCACAACAGTGCATTAAAGGGCCCCTCCCTGCCCTGCTGCTCATGCCCTGGGGACGCAGCCCAGCAGAAGGGGGGTTCTGGGCTGCGAGCAAACGCTGAAGTTCAGTTTCTCATCAGCTAGCACCCCCAAGTCCTTCTCCACGTGTGCATCACTTGGGGTTTCTTCCCCACCCAGGCCCAAACTAGACTGAAGAACTGG